AAAAATCATTGGAAATCCCGTTGCACGAATCGCCAGGACGCGATTTCATTTTCATTTTGATTACTTGGACAGGCTCAACTACAAGTAATTTAGTCAATTCATCTTTGATCTGATCCATGGATTCACCACTGGGCAGATCTTTCAAGACAACCAGACATTCAGTTTTGGTGGCATGAGTAAAAAATGTGTGTTGCTTCTCAAGAAAGTACTTGAGAAGACGTTTGAATCCGTTCAAGGTTACACAGCATTCACTCCGATGGTCAATTTGAAGTGAAAACTTAAATTGAACGAAGTTCAAAAGTTCCGTGCGAAGAGCATGAAAATTGGATGTGGTTACAACAATAGGGGGAACCTTTTGCTTTTTCTAATCTAATCTATTCTAACACCAACACAGCCAGTTCTTGAAAGCATCCTGGAAAATGATATATATATCTACACCATTTTTGTTGTCTATTTGATATATGTTTCACATGGAAGATACGTCCGTCACACATATCAAAACGGCCAGGCCTACTGTGCAGCATTTAAGGGGCAAGATGATTCAGAAAACATCGGGCCTTCAAAATCCAATAAATGGAAGAAACGTATGACTTATGGCTATAGCGCCATTGCTGGCTTTCTGAAAAGAGAAGAGGGAAAGGAAAAGGAGAAGGACAAAAGAGAAAAGGATGTTGTGAAATCTATGAACATAAACAATATTTTTGATTTGAAATACACAATATAGAAATGCATAACGGCGCGGTGGTCACTACCCAAGTCATAAAAAGTGACAAGGACTGAAATGTGAACCTTTGATTACTGGAAAATCCCGATTCCCTAGTTTGAAGTTGTCACGACTAGGGTTCGGTGGTAGTTCTTATACCAGTAACGCACCACAAAAAGGTGATCTCCCAACTTAACTGGTTTGAAAGATAAAAAATTACAAAATATAACGAACTCACCAAGTTTAGCCAATTGAACCTGAAGGCTGCCTGACATGCGTTGATGTAGAAGTCAAAATTGTAGACGAAGCATGACGAAGATCAACATGAACTAGCCCGGTTTATGGTAGTTGCGCGAAATGTCTTCCTTCACATCCCGTAACCCTATTAGTTTTTTTTATATCCAGAAATTCGAATAAGTTTAAGTCTCAGAATCGTTCTAAAAGTTAAAAAAAAATCGTCGTTTGCAACGGAGTAATTCGTAGATTGCATACTGACAACTGTGGTGCATCTACTTTAACATTCATATTCTAATTTCCTAATTTAAAGGGTGTCCACGATGAAATTGCCACACTATGAAATTGCTCTAACTTTTTAACCGTTGGGTAGAATTTAATGAAGATTTGGGTGGATTTAGTTCATAGTGCATTATTTACATCCTGCTAGTTTTAAAGTCCTGTGATCAAAACTCACGGAAATGGAGTCGAAAGAACAGCTCGTGCGTGATAAAATCTTGCGCATTCATCACGAGAACAAGGATCTTTCGCATCGTTCCATCGCTAAAACGTTGGGAATCGCGAATTCCACGGTGTCGCGAGTGATTAAGCGGTTCGAGGAACGGTTGACCACCGATCGGAAGCCCAGAAGTGAAGGAAAAAGTATTCCGTACAACACCAAAAATCACAACCGCTTAGTTGGGGCCTTCAACCGAAATCCGAACGGCTCCGTTAGGGATGTGGCTAAGAAGCAGCACCTAAGCCGAAGTTTTGTCCAGAAGGCCAAAACTAAGGCTGGGCTTCGAACGTTCAAGGTACAAAAGGCCCCTAATCGCGACGAGAAGCAGAACAAGTCCGCCAAAACCCATGCCAGGAAGTTGTACCTCAACATGCTGACGAAAGTTGAATGCTGCATCATGGACGACGAAACATATGTGAAGGCCGACTTCAAACAGATCCCCGGCAATCTTTTTCACGGCCAAGGATAAGTTCAGCGTTCCGGAGCATGTCCGCACTCAGAAGATGTCCAAATTTGCGAAGAAATTCCTGGTTTGGCAAGCCATCTGCACGTGCGGGAAGCGGAGTGCACCTTTCGTGACCCAGGCCACGATGAACGGACAGGTGTAAATAAAAGAGTGCCTCCAGAAGCGGCTGCTTCCTCTCCTGAAGGCCCACAACGTCCCAACAATCTTCTTGCCGGATTTGGCCTCATGCCACTACTCCAAGGACGTGCTGAAGTGGTATGCGGACAATAAGGTCAATTTCGTGCCGAAAATGTTCAACCCTCCCAACACTCCGGCCCCATCGAGAAGTACTGGGCGATTATGAAGCAGCACCTTCTTAAACGACCTAAGGTAGTGAAGACAGTCGAGGAACTGAAGAAAGTATGGGTTTACATGCAAAAAATGGTTGATTCACAGGTTGTGCAAAATCTTATGGCCGGGGTTAAGGCCAAGGTGCGGGCATTTGCGTATGGACTGTAAATAAAATACGAGTAAAATGGTAAAATGAAGTTTAATAGTTATTTCTCAATCCCTGAAAAATGAAATTTGGGAGTGAATAGCTTTCCATTCAGAATTCAGAACAGGAAAAGCATGATAATAGCCATTGCCGGCCAGCCCCATCTTCACCGTTACGGGGAAAGCAAGGATATTGTTGGTGTACCTTAGCTGTACTTAACGAGAGGCCAGCGACTCACTGACGCCCCCCGTATATGCTACGGAGTTGGGTCAAGATTCACTTATGCAGACGATGCGACCTTAGGAATTGTTTTATTTTGGAGGAGCTTGGGAGTAAAACCACGATCTTCTACTCAGTAAGCAAAAGCGGCAGCCACTAAGCTAGCCAAGCTCCTCAATTTAAACCCTGGGACATAATTTGGTAAAGTTTTTATGAATACTAATAGAATTATAATGCAAACAAATTAAATAAAAAGAAAGGATCTCACCCGAATGATCTGTAATTAGCCCGCCTCTTCGTGATTCTTAAGATCAATTGTTCTCGTAAATGGAGCTCCATCTCCTTGATCCTGATAATAACAAAACCAGTTTCCCTTTATTCTGGCCTCGGGAAGAAGTGCATCGGAATAAACACACCGTCATTGCAGCATTGTCGATGAACCTCCAGACGTTGGCTCACGATACCCGTTCCGATCAGCTCTAACTGTTCCACTATCAGATTCAAACATTCCAATACGCAAAAACACATGTTCGCAAGAAACTTCACAATTTGTTAAACACGGGAGCAAAATTCAAACACGTCACCTAGGGGGAACCTTTTCCTTTTTGGCATTAAACCGGGAATTTTTAATGGAATTTTGCCTGGATTGATTGTTCAATTGAATTTCATCAAAAGGGGGATCAAGCGATTGCCCTTTTCTTTTGCGCTTATGCGCCATGGCGGCAGAACTAAGTTTCTCCAGCAGATTACTATAAGAATCCGAAGGACCGAAGAGGAAATTTCCAAGTCGATGGCCTTATACCTTGGAATAAGAATAAGAGTAAAAAAAGGTAGAAATTTTACAGGTTGAAAAGTGTTGTTTAAATTTGTTGTAGCATTAGGTAGTAGTAACACATCCTTCAGCAAAAATCAAATAGATCCGCACGGCAAGAGAGGACTGCACAAATTGATGCATTGGTATTGACATCGAAAACTCTCAATTAATAACTGTGGAAGTGCATTTAGATAGAACATTAAGTGGAGAGCACAATAAGCTAATATGCGATAAGCAATAAGCTTGAAATGTCATGAAGAAGTGTTATAAGCGAGTGGGGCGACTCTATCTAAGATGCTGGAAAAAAATGGTTTGCTTTTGTGAGATACGCACGCTAATTAGATAGAAAGAAGATTGATGAAGATTTTAAAGATTTCCTGCAAAAAGGTGGAAAGCGATGTGAGTAGATGGCTTTAGATGCAAGAGATGAAAAAAGATTTTTCGTGTTTGATTCGCTTGTGTGTAAAATTAGGTTTTGCTAAGTGTGTAATATTACTTAATATATTGTGTCGACAGCACTAAATTAAAGTTAGGAAGTCTGACTTCCGACCTTTATTAAAACTTTTGCGAAAACCATGAATTTAAAATTGTTGTTGTTGCTATAGTTGGTACTTCCGACAGCTCTCTTGCAATGCTACCAGTCGCATTGAAAGTCAATTCGTCAGCTATATACAGGTATTGCAAATAGGCTATATAGACATCACATGTCATGTATATGATTTACAGATTTTTTTTTTCCGTATGAGTGATATCAACCATAGTCATACAACGTAGCATTAGATGTTCCATATTGGAATATTTTCAATCTAATTATATTAAATAATGTTTCTTTACTACTTGTGTAGTAGAAGACTCGCATTTCAAATCATCAACTATGGATTCTTGGAGCACTATAGACATATCCTCTAATCTTATTCGAGAGGATAGTTTCAATAGTAACTATCGCAAGAGTCGAACAGTGAGTATCAACATTATTATTCTCTCCCCAGTGCGACGCTTGACGTTTTGACAACCTATCCGCCTAAAATTTCGTTATTTCCATGCATTCGCGTTAACATGCAGATTCACCACATCGATAAATGTTGTTCGTGAAATGTGATTTTGTATACATATTTGTTGTCTATCGATGACTGCTTTGCTTACCTACAAAAAACATGCTTTGATTCTCATTTCAGATTTTTCTCAATAGCTACTTCGATACGGTAAATTCAACACCAGTGATGTCATCCGGCATCGTAATCATTAATGCTAACCTGATTATAAATCCACCTTGCGTTGTTTCCCTATTTATTCGTCTATCTGTTAAATTTTGTTTTCATTTGCTTTGGTTGTAAAGAGCTCGGACCTATCAGATCCACCTCGCCCTATCAGTGTAATTTTGCATCCCACAACTAACCGTGAATAATCGTGCAAGTAAAGTGCGCGTGCGCTCTCGTGGATGAGTCGCACGCGTGAGAGGTTTAAATTTAGACTCCACTCTCGTACGCATACCAGCTCAGTTACAATGTATGAAAAATATGCGTTCTGCGTCTACCACTGACTGTTTGGTTCACCAAGTTCATGTTCCCAGATATTAATATTAGCTCTCCCGCTCTCTTACCACATGAGAGCTGTGGGAAATTTTGCCAAAAATTTTCACACTCATACAAGAACGACGGACTTTTCTTAGTGAAACTTCCATATCCTCTAAACCTTTCGGGTCAAATTTGTGGCTTTTGTTTTGGTTTGTTCCGTGCTTAACCGCCCTCCAGTGATACCTCGCGATGGATCTGTCCAGTGACGTATGGAATCAGGTCACTTTGGAAGCGTCTCAACTGTATTTCACCGAGGACGGCAAAAGCCCATTCGCCAATACGGTCTGTGTGTGACAGTTCTGTAATATGTCATTGCTTTTTATGGGCTTAATACAGTTCTAAAATTATATAATGAACCGCTCTGTCAAACAGCCAGAACAGATTCTAATCTTATTCTAACGTCTATTCCAGACCATCGAAAAACTTCCGGATAAGGTCGTCTTGCATATCTTTTCGTACCTCAGCCACCTAGAGATATGTCGCATGGCAATAGTCTGCCGTCGTTGGCGTACGATCGCCTACGACACCAAACTGTGGAAGAACGTTTCTCTGCGTCCAGAAGTGTCCGGTCTACACGTAGGCTCATTAGAGCAGTTGCTTCAGATGATCTCGGTACGCTTCGGTGCATCACTTCGTTACATCGAGCTGCCAATTGAGCTTATCACGCATACCGTACTTCATGAACTATCCAGCAAATGTCCCAATTTGACCCATATGCTTCTGGATTTCTCCACTGGTAAGACAATTCTCTGTAACCAAGCTAACTGAATATTATCAAACGAATCACATTTCAGCTATGCAGCTACACGATTTCAGCGAGATGCAAGCCTTTCCAGCTAAGCTGCGCTACATGTGCATTTGCCTGTCGGAGGTAATCTTCATGGAGGGTTTCATGCGCAAAATTTACAACTTTATCAACGGCCTTGAAGTCCTGCACTTGATCGGAACCTATGAAAAGTGCGAAGAAGAGGAAGAGGAAATCTACGAAGTTATCAACGTCCACAAGCTCAAATCAGCTACTCCAAATCTGCGCGTGATCAACCTGTATGGCATCAATTTCATCGACGACTCACACATTGACGCATTCAGCTCGAATTGTATTCAACTGGAATGCTTGGCTGTCAATTATTGCAGCAAAGTAACTGGTTCCACACTGAAGCCGCTACTCGCACGCTCCAAGCAACTTAAGTGCTTGCTTATGAATGGTACCGACCTCAAGTCGGAATATGTTATGCAAGCCGAATGGGACAAGTGCTCCGTCCAAGAACTAGACATTTCCGGAACAGATTTATCCACGGAATGCCTCATTGATGTACTGACTCGTATTCCTACCTTGCGCTTTTTGAGTGCTGGACAAATCAATGGATTCAACGATTCTGTTCTTAAGGCCTGGGCCGAAGGTGGTAATCCGAAGACCTTACTCGCTCTGGACATTGATTCGTCGGATAACATCTCTGATGAAGCATTGGGAAGATTCATTACCCGCTATGGCGCACAGTTACAAGCTTGTGTGCTATCTGGAATGACACACATTACCGATCAGCTGTGGATGACGATTCTGCCGATTTTGGTCAACGTGAAGATTATCGTGATGGGAACCACCGAAAGACTGGGAGGTAATATTCACGTTGATCAGCTAATGGATACAATTGGATCGTCTTGCCCCGCACTGGAGCGATTGGAGCTGCGATGGGATCCAGAGAACTTGCGTTTCTCTGATAAGAGCCAGAAAGCCATTGATATGCTGCGCGTGAAGTGTCCGAAGCTGCGAGGCTTGGTTTTGAGGTAAGCTTATTTAAGTGTCTTTTTTAAACTTTATACTCACGAAAAACAGTTACCGGACAAGTACCATACATAAACGAGATCAGGAATTGTGCGATCATATCACATAAAATTGCGAATCTATACACTTCATGTATCCTGAGCGCCTCCAGTGGTGGGCCAACCTAAAAGATTTACATCCTAGGTGGCTTCTTGCTTTGGGGCAGCAGTTAGCCTAGTCAGAAAAGACATGGTATTATCAAGCCGGAGGCAGTGGGATCGAAATTTTCTCGACTTCCCTGGGCATATTTCAAGTAACATTTCTTGTTTTATTGCACTCTATTAGTGGTTTTTTAGATCAATTTTATAAAACCGTCAATAAAATTAATAGCTCCAGCACAACCTTTTGATAACCGCTATAAGATCGTCTTCCAGCTTAGTGGACCACTCTTGATAAGGTTTATAAAGCATGTTTGAGAATCACAATAAAGCTGTCTTAAAACCTTTTGTAAGAAAGCCTCATGCTCTACAAAAGGTTGTCATAGCCTCGTTAAGAGTAATATTGTATCCAAGCAGTTTTATTACGCTTTGGTGAAAATCAGTTATAAATCCAATTTAATTTTTATTGCATCAAAGCAACCGCCATAAATTAGCTTGTTGTTGTTCTGTTCTGTTGAAACTTTTTTTTTTCATATGGTAATCTTTAGCTGTAAAAATAGGTTTGAGTGTTGGTGTCAAGATCACCATGCAATCAATTTTGTTTCATGGCGACATTAGTGAAAATCTTTAAGAAAATATATTACTTTTTAGAAGTTCCAAAACATATGCGCTTGAAATTTTATCGTGTATTTTGGGATAATATGAACGTTAAATAAATGCGCCTCAAAAATAATTCAAGTTAACAAAAAAGATTGTTTTAGAAATCAAATTAATTTGATGGAATCATCTTAGTTTTACAGAAAATAGATCTTAATAAATAAATTCATACCAATGCACACTGGAAATCAGTTCGGATCTCTAATTTAGCCATTATTTTTTTTTAAATTTCTTGGATTTTATTCCAAGGCTAATGGGATTTTCATAATGACAATATGGCGGCAGAGGACAGCAGGCAAGAAAAACACCAAGCGCAATTTCTTAAAATGTCTAATGCTTACTTTTTTTTGCTTTATTATAGAGATTTTCCCTAATGCTTACATTGGATGGAAGCAGAACAGAAAAGCATAATACATGATTTTATTTCGAGCACTATTTTCTTTTTACAAGAGCAATTCATTTTTTTTTATTTGAGGGTAAACGTATATTCCTATTCTACGGGTGCAACCGATGAATTTTACAAACATTTGGAAAAGTTTTTAATGGTACATAAAACTTTATGAAAAGTTATGCGTGATTTCAACTTTGTTGTTGATTTTCTTTGCACTCCGCTTGGAAGTACGGGAAAGTTTTGATTCTTTCAATGTTGTAAAAATAAACCGCCCATTTACACTTCTGACAAGTTGCAACTGAATGCTTATAATTGTTTTTAAATAACTGTTTCATGGCCAACTACACACATAGAAAAATTCATGTAAATTTAGGTGCTCTGAGAGTGACATATACGAGGGTCAATTTTGACATAAATTTGAGTCATACTGACTATACATACATAGTCAGACGTGAAATATAGCTCAATCAAACGTATTTTTCATCGAGCAACTAACTTTTCAGTTTCGGAGCACTTAATATCACATGACATGTTGGTTTACGTCTCATCTTTTATGTCAAAGATGGATTCCGTCACATGTAAAATTAGTTATTTCTAAATGTGTGGTTTTATTACGCTTACTTATATAGCAATAAAAGGATTTATTTTTGGGTTTTATAAGGGCAATTCATATTGCTTTTTTTTTTATACTTCAAGCCAATCATAAAACCTTTCATAAGTGAAAATAGCGAAAGCATCAGTTAGTTTTTTCATTAGCTTTATAGGGGTTTTGTAGATAGCTATGAGAATGTTCCATGACTTGCATTGTAATGACCGTCATAAAGCTGTAGGTAATGATTGCAGCTGCAATAAAACCTTTATAAATTTTGAATATAGCCAAGCAGCTCTTGATTTGTTACTTGGGATTAGCATTCCCAACAACAAAATTAGTTGCATACTAGCCTACACACTTAAAAATGATTACCGACTTCAGTAATGTTTATCGAACTTTCAACAGCTCAGAACTGCTTGGTGAAAATCATGTAGGCTATACATGCAGTTCCACTTCGAGTTTTCCATTACACAATTCTCGGAAGTTAGTGCTTCATTTCACCAGGAATTGTTACTTCATGTATGCTGCAGTGTAGCAAGAATGGAGTAACAGTTTCAATGGTGTACGTGTCGTAGAAGGTGATACTTGTGCACTTGAAGTTTCGAAGTGGTTAAGAGAATAAGGATCTCACAGCGAAACACGTTAATTCATTACTTTTAAAGCTTCAAAACTATGAAAACTTCACCGCAATGGCAAAACTCGATTAATTAAAAAAGACTGACAGTGTTTTGAAATTAAAATTTAGTGAAATAACTTTTGAAATGAGAGTCAAAGTTTTAACAAAAGCTTTTGAAAGTTCGTTAAAAAATAACCAAAGTTGGTAAGAATTTCTAAGCGTGTACACAGGCAAAAATTTGCTGTATAATATCAACATAAGTTACCTATATGATAAAATTGTGTGTGGCAGGATAATTTCACAAAATGGGATTATACCATCTGTTTTATGTTTATAGCCGTACGACAGCGCCCATTGACTTAACACACGGCGGCTCTTTATCCAGGATTCGCTCCTCAGGCCGCTGCCATAAAATACTATCTAAGTTACACACCTGTGTATAATCCTTATCCCAAGTAACAAATCTAGAGCTGCTTGGCTATATTCAAAATTTATAAAGGTTTTATTGCAGCTGCAACCATTACCTACTGCTTTATGACGGTCATATACAATGCAAGTCATGAAACATTCTTATAGCTATCTACACAACCCCTATAAAGCTAATGAAAAAACCAACTGATGCTTATGCTATTTTCACTTATGAAAGGTTTTATGATTGCTTTGAAGTATAAAAAAAAGCAATATGAATTACCCTTATAAAACCCAAAAATAAATCCTTTTATTGCTTTATAAGTAAGCGCAATAAAACTAGTTGGCCATGAAACAGTTATTTTAAAACCATTATAAGCATTCAGTTGCAACTTGTCAGAAATGTAAATAGGCGGTTTATTTTTACAACATAGAAAAGAATCAAAACTTTCCGGTACTTCCAAGCGGAGCGCAAAGAAAATCAACAAAATTGTTAGCATGAGCATGAAAACATTTCGTGTATACGTATACGCGACGTACTGTGCGTAAGAAAAACGTCAGCAGTCTCTATAATTCTTCCGTTCTCGCTCGCATATACATGGGGTGACACTGTCGAATCTTGGTCGAAATACATGGAATGGTGACAGTCCTAGCACAAAAAGGTTGAAATCACGCATAACTTTTCATAAAGGTTAATGTACCATTCAAAACTTTTCCAAATGTTTGTAAAATTCATCGGTTGCACCCGTAGAACAGGAATATACATTTGTCATTAAATAAAAAAAAAAATTCAAGCTGAACATTGCATTAGGTCCTAAGTAATATTGACAGATTCTCTTCGCCGACTTTCTCTTTGCATCCCCACGGTCATGTAAAGACATTCCCAGGTATTTTCAGCACAAAAATCGATAAAAGAAGCTTTTATCTAGCATCCAATACGACAAGCACATCAAGAAACGGTTCGGTGAATAAGTTATTAACGAAAGAGAAAGTCGACGAAGGGAATCGATAAATGTTACTTAGGACCTAATGCAAAGTTCAGCTTGAATTGCTCTTGTAAAAAGAAAATAGTTCTCGTAATAAAATCATGCATTATGCTTTTCTGTTCTGCTTTCATCCTAGGCACACTGGGCCAGGAATGCAACCTAGCGGAGCAAAATTAATAACTCCGAAACGAAGCATTTCTGTGACTTGGTGTCTTCGGCAAAATTGTCCATCATAATAAGGACCATCTATTGACATAAACAAATAGTTCAAAACTCTTCCGCAAAGATGGTGCCACAATCTAACTTCTTTTTCTGACGTTTTGGAGACTTGATGTCTTGGGCAAAGTTGTTTATCTTGACAAAATGAACAGCTCTTTCAAAGACGTTAAATTTCCATAGTCTATTGGTTCCAAGTTATATGGAGTTAAAGAAAAAATGTCGAAAACATGGTTTTTTCTTTCTGTTTCGGTGTTTTGCTTACAACTATATAATGTTATATTTTTCTCTTTTGCAAATACATTAAATAAATAGCTTTTGTGAAGAAACATACTGGATTAAGCTTCAAATTTCAAAGATATTGTTGAAAGAACGAAAAAAAAACACAATTTTTGAACTTTAATATCTCCCAAAGCGCAAAAAATCACAAACTGACATTTTTAGCAAAAATTAAGCAATACTCGATAAACAAAATATCAAAATTTGAGAGAGGTATATTTTGGTGTCAAGATAAACAACTTTGCCCAAGAAGTTAGATTGTGGCACCATCTTTGCGGAAGAGTTTTGAACCATTTGTTTATGTCAACAGATGGTCCTTATTATGATGAGAAATTTTGCCCAAGACACCAAGTCGCGGAAATGCTTCGTTTCGGAGTTATTAATTTTGCTCCGCTAGGTTGCATTCCTGACCCAGTGTGCAATGTAAGCATTAGACATTTTAAGAAATTGCGCTTGATGTTTTTCTCTCTGCTGTCCTCTGTCGCCATATTGTCATTATGAAAATGCCATTAGCCTTGGAATAAAATTCAAGAAATTTCAATAAAATAATGGCTAAATAAGAGATCCGAAATGATTTCCAGTGTGCATTGGTATGAATTTATGTATTGAGATCTATTTTATGTAAAATTAAAGTGATTCCATCAAGTTCATTTGATTTCTGAAACCATCTTTTTTGTTAACTTGAATTATTTTGGAGGCGCATTTATTTAACACTCATAT